TATAAGTTTATGTGAATGATCAGAATTCCCAGGTGTATAGAGGAGCTGACAAGGGGCAAGGTTGTGGTCACGGCTTGGTCACAGCCAGCTACCCAGAGGGACCGAGTAGTTGAACCTGCAGGCTTGGGACCATAGTCGCAGTGGACATCACACCCAATTGGCATAAAATACTACACAATATATCGTTCCACCTCCTACTTTGGCGAGTAGCGACTGGGATCTTAAAAGCTAACAAGCTGCCATCTAGATGCAGTGATGGGTTTCTCCCCATCCAGAGCAAAGAAGAATGAAGAAAACCAAAATTCATGTAAACAATTAGTCTTAGCAACTGGTACACCATCCGATCTGCAGCCTATACGACTATGAGACCAGAAGAACAAGATGGTGCCCAGCTACCACTGTCATCCACTTGGAAGGTGATCTATTTAAGAGATCCTTGATAGAGAGTGAAAACAATGTGGAACAAAACTCAAAATCATTTGGAGAAAAAAAAAAGGGGGGTGGGTGGGACCAAGTTTGCTGGTCCGATAAAGCCTGGTGGAACCACTGAGACTATGGCCCCTAGCTGCCCTTCAGGTCTGGAATTGAACCCACAACCGTGATTTCCAGCCAAACTAAAGACAGGCATATGAGTTGAACATGTACTTCAGGTAGATACACTCCTTGGAGAGAACAATCATGGGAGAAAGAAGGGTTGCTTATGCACAGGGAGACAACTCAGGGGGCATGAGTGCATGGAGGGTCTGACACTGGGACTGGGTAACTATGGGGAGGAAGTGGGAGGTGAGCTGTTGCATTGTGCTAAACTGCGGTCAATGTCATGAGATAAAGTGTATGTGAATTGCTGTATGGAAAGTGAATCTGCTCTGTAAATCTTCACCCAAATCACAAAAAAAAAAATAAAAGTCTAGGCCAGTTTGATTTTTTTTTTATCCCCCTCTTACTGTCTTATAAATACCTTCCTGCCCTCATAGCTGCTTCATTTCTTTAGGTAGGTGACACATCATTTGATCTGCCAGAAGCAAATGTTCTCATCCAAATCTCTTCTCATGGTGGCTCCCGGCGGCAGGAGGCCCAGAGGTTAGGGCGGGTGCTCCGAGCCAAAAAAGGTAATGATGGTCTTTCCTATTCTGCTCTGGGAGGTTTCTCCCTTTTCACCACAACTGATTAGAAGAGGGTAAAGTGAGCTGCTGGTTTGCTCAGTGACATCAACCTTGTACTCCTGGGTTAGGATTACTCTGAAGAAGTTAAAGCAAAAACTAAGGTCTTCTTGGCCCTTTTTAACATTTCTCAACCTTTGGGGGTGAATACATGGGAGTTTCCCATGTCAGCGGTCTAGAATTCACACAGATATCTTTTAATTAGAGTAGTTTTGGCACATAACAACAACAACAAAAACAATTGTGTTAGCAGGTAATAAAATAATGGGGAAGGGCAGTGCAGTGTAATGTAGTGAATAGTGTAGTGTAGTGTGTGATATAGACATAGAAAGGAGAATGCAAAACTGAACCGCCAGAGGAAGTATAGGAGTTGGATGCTTTTCCTTAGAGTTTGAATTGGGAATTAGGGGAGGGGTTGGTGGAGCACTTTTGGCAGCCACAAAAAGGACACATGACTTATAACCTGTAAAGATTGCTGCACTGGGTGGCAACTTGGCAGCGGGGACATCACAGACTCAGTGAATGAAGAGGTAAGTGGAAGTGAGTACTGCAGAGGCTCTTACTGAGTGGCTGTGGAGTCTCTATGTGCTTATCACTTATTGCTGTTCAGTTGATTCTGACTCATAGTGACCCTATAGGACAGAATAGTAGAATTGTCACATAGTGTTTCCAAGGCTGTAATCTGAACAGAAGCAGATTGCCACATCTTTCTTCCATGGAGCAGCTGGTAGATTCAAACTGCCAACCTTTTAGTTGGCAGCTGAGTACTTAACCACTGTGCCACCAGGGGTCCTTCTAGGTGCTTATTACTTACAGTAAAAGGGGCCCAGATACCAATCATGGGGCATGGCATGGCTGATAGTGCTGCTGAGAGATGACCACATCTCTCCATCTAGGACCAGGGCCTATCTGCTAAGATATGGACATGGGACCTGTCCTCAGGGAATTTCTCTTTGGAGGCAGCTGGGTTGCTAGGATATTTTAAAATGGCAAGATTAGGGGGCATGTGTATCAATGATACTATATTCTAATATATTTAATAGGTAGCTAATTGTTATCACAATAAAATAATAGAATTAGCGTATAACCATGGAGTTACTAGGAGCTCTGGTAGTGTAGTGCCTAAGGCACTTGACTGTTAACCAGAAGGCTGATGGTTCAAACCACCAGCCACTCCTCAGAAGGAAGGTTGGGCAATCTACTTCTATAGTGATAACTCCTTCGAAACCCAAGGAGGGGTCGCTGTGAGTTGGGTCTGACTCGACAGCAACTACATGGAGTTACTAGCTGTGTAATTTAGCTCCTCCTAACCTTGATTTTCCTATCTAATATAGGGATATTTTGCAGGATTTTTTAAAGGATTGAGATTACGTAACATAAGGTAGTTGTTTAATAAATTGTAGTCTTTATAAACTGCAAGTCAGTGATGATTTCTTGGCCTATATGATTATAATCTGTATCATATGTACAAGTAGATCATTACTCATTCTCTACTCTTCATCATAATAAATTTCTAAAAATTAAAGTTATTCCCCTATAATTAATAGCAATAAAAATACAGAGATTTCCTTCCTTAAAATACGGAAGTAAATCTAATTTGGAAATCCCTTTGAATTCTATTAGAATTTTATTTTCTTAATCAAAATACTGTTTAACATAAAATACTTGGCTTCTTTCCTATCTTTCAGTTGTTACAAAACTAAGAAACAGTTGAATTTCAAAGACAGTGCACAGATGCTTAACCTACTTGCATTTGAACTGTGAAGCAAAAATGTTCACATTTTTCTGTAGAATCAGGTCTTACAAGCTACAGATATTTTTGGTCCTAGTTTCTGTGGTAGTTCTTCCTATTCGAGAGGTTTTCCCTGGAACAGGAAAAAACAGCTTATTGAGAAAGAGTTTGCATATCATATAATTGTCCCATTAAAGTAGATGATTCATTAATTTTCAAGATATTCAAAGAATTGTGCATCGATAACCACAATCTGTGTTAAGAATATTCTCATTACTCTCGAAGAGAAAGACAGACAGGTACGTGGGGAGTACAGACAACAATGATGAACCCTTTTGCACATATACTACGGCGTGGTCAGTGAAGGCAAACACGAGTATATGGGTGGATAGATGGGTGGACAGGCTGAAATATTAGGTATGTCTATGAAGTGGGGAGTACACCCAAGAACATGTATAGGGTTGGCAGACAGTGGTCCTATAACTTTATGGGTGTGATCTGAATTCCCAGGTGTATAATGGAGCTCACAAGGGGTAAGGTTGTAGTCACTGCTTGGTCACAGCCAGCAACCCAGAGGGACCAAGTAGTTGAGCCTGTGGGCTTGGGACCATAGTTGCAGAGGACATCAAGCTCAATTGGCATAACATATTACACAAAACATTGTTCCACCTCCTACTTTGGCAAGTAGCTACTGGGATCTGAAAAGATAGCAAGCTGCCATCTAGATGTAATGATGGGTCTCTCTGCATCCAGAGTAAAGAAGAATGAAAAAAAAAAAACAAAAATTCATGGAAACAATTAGTCCTAGTGACTGGTACACCATCCAATCTGCAGCTTATATGATTATGAGACCAGAAGAACTAGATGGTGCCCAGCTACTAATGTCAACCACTTGGAAGAGGATCTATGTGGGAGATCCTGGATAGACAGGGAGAACAATGTGGAACAAAACTCAAAATCATTTGGAGGAAAATAAAAGGCAGGGGGGAGGACACGGTTTGCTGGCCCCATAGAGCCTGGTGGAACCACTGAGACTGTGGCCCCTAGCTGCCCTTCAGGTCTGGAATTGAATGCACACCTATGGCTTCCAGCCAAACAATAGACAGGCATATGAGTTGAACATTTACCTCAGGTAGATACACTCCTTGGAGAGAACAAGCATGGGAGAAAGAAGGCTGCTTATACATAGGGAGACAGCTCAGGGGGCAGGAGTGTATGGAGGGTTGGATACAGGGAAGAGGTAACTATCGGGAGGAACGAGGAGGGGAGATGTTGCATTGTAGTAAATTGTGGTCAGTGTCATGAGACAAAGTGTATGTGAACTGCTTTATGGAAAGTGTATTTGATCTGTAAATTTTTACCCAAATCACAATAAAAAGGAAAAAAAAAAGAATATTCTCATTACTCTAAAAAGAAACTTACCTATTAATAGTCACTCCCCATTTCCTCTGTATACCCCAGAGTGTACCATAGAGTTGCTTCCGTCTCCTAGGGACCCTATATGACAGAGTAGAACTGGCCCATTGGATTTCCTAGGCTATAATTTCTACAGAAGCATGTCACCAGGTGTTTTTTCCCAGGTAGCTGCTGGCAGGTTCAAATTGCAACCTTTTGATTAGTAGTTAACCATTAAACCATTACCATTGTGAACACTTACCCATTGTACCTGGGCTCCTTTCCCAGCCCTAGGCAACTACTAATCCACCTTTGTCTCCATAAATGAGAGTATTCTGGACATTTCATATAAATATAATCCATGCAATATGTGATCTTCTGTGACTGGCTTCTTTCACTTAGGTTTATGTTTTCCGATTATTCATGTTGTAGCATATATATATCATCAGTACTTCATCCCTCTTCATTGTTGAATAGTATACTATTTTATGGATATATCATATTTTGTTTACCCATCCATTGATGGATGTTTTAAGTTCTTTATACCTTTTGGCTGTTACGAATAATGCTGTTCTGAATGTTTATTTATAAAATTTTGTGTGGAAAAATGTTCCAATTTCTCTTTGATGGTGTATATTTAGGAGTGGAAATTGTGAGTCTTAGAATATCTATCTCTTTTTTTTTTTACTTTTTCAAGTATTTATTAAATTCTTTTATTGTGATTTGGGTGAACATTTACAGAACAAATTCCTCTTCCATACAGCAGTTCACATACTCTTTGTCTCATGACATTGACTGCAATCGCCCACAATGCAACAGCTCACTTCCTCCCTTTAGCCACCTCTTCCATATGTCCTTCCCTCCCATGCACTCCTGCCCCCAAGCTGTCTCCCTGTGTCACAGCCCTTCTGTTCTCCCATGATTGATCTCTCCAAGGAGTGTATCTAACCTAATGTAAATGTTCAGCTCATATGTCTTGTCTTTTGTTTGGCTGGAAGCCGTGGGAGTAGTTTTAGTTCCAGACCTGAAGGGCAGCTAGAGGCTATAGTCTCAGGGGTTCCACCAGGTTCTGTCAGAGCAGCAAACCTGTTTGCTTTTTTTTTTTTTTTTTTTAATTGTGATTTGGGTGAAGATTTACAAAGCAAATACACTTTCCATACAGCAGTTCACATACACTTTGTCTCATGTCATTGACCACAGTTTACCACAATGCAACA